ATCTCTAGTCTTTCCCATTCTATTGTTTTCCTCTATTTCTTTGCATTGATCACTGAGGAAGGCTTTCTTCTCTCTCCTTGCTATTCTTTGGAACTCTGCATTCAAATGGGTCTGTCTTTCCTTTTCTCCTTTGCTTTTGGCTTCTCTTCTTTTCACAGCTATTTGTAAGGCCTCCTCAGACAGCCGATTTGCTTTTTTGCATTTGTTTTCTTGGGGATGGTCTTGATCCCTGTCTCCTATATAATGTCACGAACCTCCGTCCATAGTTCATCAGGCACTTTGTCTATCAAATCTAGTCCCTTAAATCTATTTCTCACTTCCACTGTATAATCATTAGGAATTTGATTTAGGTCATACCTTAATGGTCTAGTGGTTTTCCCTACTTTGTTCAATTTAAGTCTGAATTTGGCAATAAGGAGTTCATGATCTGAGCCACAGTCAGCTCCCCGTCTTGTTTTTGCTGACTGTATAGAGCTTCTCCATCTTTGGCTGCAAAGAATATAATCAATCTGATTTCAGTGCCGACCATCTGGTGATGTCCATGTGTAGGGTCTTCTCTTGTGTTGTTGGAAGAAGGTGTTTGCTATGACCAGTGTGTTCTCTTGGCAAAACTCTATCAGCCTTTGCCCTGCTTCATTCTGTGCTCCAAGGCCAGATTTGCCTGTTACTCCAGGTGTTTCTTGTCTTCCTACTTTTGCATCCCAGTCCCCTATAATGAAAAGGACATCTTTTTTGGGTGTTCTAAAACTATTAATAATAGACAGATCAATAGACCAGAACAGAAAGACTAGAAATAGACCCACACAAATATGGCAACAGATTTTTGACAAAGGTAAATCACTGGAGAAAGGGTAGACTTTTTATATACAGTGCTGGAACAACTGAATGGAAAACAAAAGAACTTAATTTCATATCTCGCATCACATACAAAAAATAGTGTAAAATAGACCAGAGACCAAAAACTATAAAACTTCTGTTAAGTAAACACAGGAGAAATCTTTTAAACTGACAGCTGAAGGTTAAGCAATAATTTCTTAGATGTGGCAGTGAATAAAAAATTCATGAAAGAACAAAGTGATAAGTTGAACTTCATCAAACCTACAAGCTTCTCTTTAAAATATTTTATTAAGATAATTAAGAGACAAGCCACAGAGTGGGGTAAAATATTTTTAAAATGTACATTTTCTAAAGGACTATTCAAAATATATTTTTTAATAAAATGTCAAAACTCAGTAAGAAACAAATCCTCAAGAAATAAGCAAGAGATCTGAACATATACTTTACCAAAGAAGGTACATGGAAGGCTAATAAGTACAGAAAAAGATGCTCAACATCACTAGTAATAGGAAAATGCAAAATTAGCCACAATGTATATCACCATACACTTATTAGAATGGCTAAAATTTAAAAGACTGACCATACCAACTGATGGTAAAGATGCTGAGGGATTAGAATTCTTACATATATACTGCTGATGGAAATGTAGAATGTTATAACCACTGTGGAAAACAGTTCTGCAGTTTCTTAAAAAAGTTAAACATTCAACTACTATATATCCAGACATTCCACTCTCAAGTTTTTACCCAAGAGAAAAGAAAGCCCAGGTTCATACAAAGATATATACATGGAGGTGCATAGCAACATTATTTGTTTAATAGTCAAAGTGGAAATGAAAAAAATGTCCACCTATTGACCGGAAAACAGCAAATCATGGTGGTTTCAGGGATATACACATATATAAAAATTTAGTTAGTTATATTACAGAAATCACAAGTCTGTGTGCCCAACACACAGTGAGGCCCATCAATACTAAACATTAGAGTTTGGAAGAGAGAAAGGTTCTTTACAGATTCATACAAAGAGATGGGTGGCTCATGCACTGAGAACCTCAAAGTTACTGAAAGCTTCCAGCAAGTCCATGTGAAAGCCAAAGGTGAGGGATGGGTGTGGTTAGTTATTGCAGACTTCTCGGTGTCAGGTGCTTTGTTCTTGAGGTCCGGTCACGGTCAGGTAATTATGTTCCTGTAAATCTCTACCAGATGAATGTTACTCTCTGTCCTGACCAGAAAGGGCAAAGTCCCAAGGCACAACTTTCACCCTCCAAGGTCCCAGCCCTGGCTAAGAGGAGGCGGATCTCAGTTGGCGGCTCTTTCAGGGCCAGGTATCCACATCCTGCCCACTTGTCATGCCTGAGGGAGCCAGGCATCCAGCTCAACTGCCCCTCAGTCTCCTCAGACTGCCCAAATGGGGAGACCAGGTCTCACAGACTATGACCAGATAGATGGCCACTACTATTAGGTCACAGAGACAGGGATGGGGGAAGGGGTTCACTGCTGCCTCAAGGCCTGGACCAAGGCTAGCGGAGGGCCTTAGTGAGGGCTCTGGAGCCCTGCAGGACATAGGGCCGTCTGTTCCCTGGGCCCTCCAGCTCACCTGCTGGCCCAAGGCTTGGGTGAGCTGGAGGCCCTCCAGGAGAAGGCCTGGTTCTGCCTCTTACCTCACTCTCCACCTGATGACCACCACACCACGCACCATTGACTGAATCACTTTCCCCAATGGTCCCTCACTGAGATTCAAGTGGCAGGGCCCACTGAGAACCCCGAGCAATGGCTGAGCAAGACCCGTCGCCTTATTTACAGGGTGCAGACTAGTGAGGCACAGCAACGGCTGCCTGCTAGGAGCTGTGCCCACTCTGCTCTGCTGCCGTCACACAGTAGTTCGCTATAGAATAAGCAAACTGCAATAAAGCTGTTTCATTAAAACAAAACTTAAAGGGGTGAAAAATTATACTGTATTAAACTATTAGCTCTGTCTCTCTCTCTCTCACACACACACATATACACACACTCTATTTACTCTTTACTGAAGGAGTTTAGCAAAAATGCAGTTAATACCCTCTTAGGCTTCCTCACGGAAACAGACTTAGGTTATATCCCTTTTAGGAACAGTCAGCAGCTGGCTTTAGTAAAATTTTATCAGCCCATGGTGGGAACAAGTTACTGAAAATTAGTTTTGCCTATTTGTTCAGGACCAATACCAAGAAGTGAAACAGGCTTGATCTCTCCATTTCCATAGCCTCTTCCAGAATGCTGACCCCCTACGCTTCTCTCTTCCAAACTAAATTCCCTTCACCCCCGCGTACCCTTTTGCTGCCCTCTTCCCTACACCTCCTCACTCCTCCCCTCCCAGCCGCTTCAGTTGCCTGCTCAGTTTCCTCTTGTTCTCACTCTTTTTCCCTGTACTTCTCCCTCTGGCCAGCTTTCAGACCCTGGAACCCCAGCTGCAGCTCCTTATAACGGACCAGCACTGAGGAACCGCCCCTTTCTCAGGGCCAGGGCGGCTGCCGCCCAACCCAGCAAGCTGGGTTCCTGCCTTGGAAGAGGGTTTGCTTAGGAAGCAAATTTTCGTACTCAAGTCTCCATCACCCACCTTCCCAAGACCGCAGAGAGCTGCGCTGTAACTCTCCGAAAGGCCGCCCATGATGGACAGCGGTGGGGCCAGGCGCCTGCACCTGCGCCCTCCGGCGGCTCGGGCTGCAGGTGCTCCTGGCCCGCCCGCAGGCTCCGCGCAAATCCGGCCCAACTGGCACCAGGGCCCACCCAAAGTGGGGCTTCCCCAATGTCCCCAGCGCACGTGCAGCCTTCGAGGGTGGCTCAGGGTCTGGCCTCCAGCTGCACCCGCGTCATTCGTCTACAGCCTAAGAAGCTCTTGGTTTCCAGACAACTACAGGGAGCAGGGTGGGTTCCAAGAGAATTAGCCCTTCATCTGGGATAACTGCTACTATCATGGTTACGTGAAAGGGCTCCCAATTCTCTGGTTGTCCAGCATTGGGGAACCTTTCGAGGGATGCCACAGATAAATGACCTCACTTACAAAACTGAGCCCTGAAGCACTCTACCACATTTGAACACCAGTTGTTAGATAAGATGCTAACAAGGGTCAGTTTTCATGAAATGCAGCTTCGAGGAAGAAATAACTGTCAGAAGCTGGAGTTCAAGGCAGAGTTTAAAACTGCCACAATGCCACAAAACTGCCATTCCCTTGGCTACTGGACTCACTGGCCCTTTGTGGAGTGTGCTTACGGTGGTGGACAATCACAGTTTCAATTATTCAAATGTCTCCAAGGCCACAGAAGATATATTAAATGTGCCTAATGTAACAGATCCAATCTGTCTACAGCTATGTCTTCATGTTTCTGTAATTGGGACTGAGATTTGGAACCACGGGAATCTTATTAATGTCAACCAAGAC